CATTTAGATTAAGTACTTTATAAAGGTTGCATCTCAGGGAAATATGTTAATATTTAGGAATGAAAATTATGTAAAAATAATATGTTAAAAGTTAAGAAAAATCTAATTATGTATCTCTTAGGAAATATAAGGCAATGAATATAGTCGAAATTATTCTTTGACTTCAACTAATTATAGATAGCAACACGATAAGTTTGGAGATAGCTTTACTAAAGCTAAACCCACCTTAGTTACAGAATACATTATCCCAAAATTACTTTAAACTCGACATGAATTTATATACAAAAAAAAAAATTATTTGCACACTGTGAATTTTTAGTGAAACTGGACATGGCCTATCCCTTGTGGTAAAGATGTTGAGTAACAAGGCAAGAGTCGAGATCGACTAACTAAAAGATGAAGTGTTGAAAGTGGTAGAAGCCATACGAAGAGATGAAGATGTTGAGTGGTGAAGGCGAGGATGTTATAAAGCCTATCACTTGTGGACTATGGAGCGTGGAAACTGGAAGGTGGTTGTAGTGAGAACGTTGTAGAGCTTGAGAGCTATACAGACCCAGCAATAGGTAGCTAAGAATGCAAAGATAAACAGGAAGCTGACTATGCCGCTGAGTGAACACTGGCTTAGAGAATTGGAGTAGAGATTGAGTTAGGTAGAGTAGTGTTAAAAGTTTTTAGGATTTCTTAGCGTCTTTATATTTTTGAAGTCTTTTTTTGTTACGTTAATATCTTAGAATAGATAATATTTTATGCATATATATGTGTATGTACATATATATAGTATAGGGCTGAGTCTATATGGATTTTAAAATGCAAATCTTGACTCTTCCAACATCGATTAGATTGCTTAAGAAAATTTGATATAATTCAACCCGATCTAGTTTGCTTTTGGTTTAAGCCCTTAATAGTCTCCAATAAGATCGATGATTTTTTTGGCACTTCCACATCTATCCGCTTGTATTTGCCAACTCAACTAGTATGACAAATAATTAAGTTATTTGAAGGCAATTAGTACCTAGTCAAAGGCAAACCAGTCTCTTGAGTCATCATTAATCACATAATTATTGACTGCAAGCAATATGATCTCCTACCCCAATGCATATTCCAACATACAACTCACCTTGTAAATGTATTAGGTAAATGTTAAGTATTATATACTTTCCAAAGATTTTTAAAAAAATTTTCAGAAAAAAGTTGTGTTGATTAAAATTCATTTGTTGATTAGTTATTGGTGTGTCTTCTAGAAGTAATAAAAAGATTACAAATATAAGATCAACATAATCGCATCTTAGTCTCTACTAATTTTATATTCATCAAAATAATGATTGTTTATTTTACAAAATAATCAATAATCTCTAAGTTTCGTCCTCTATTTATCTCCTTCCGAAGTCCTGATGTTTTAATTTTTAATTAATATTTTTTCAAATTTCAGTTTTTAGGTAAAAGAAAAAAAGTAATGAGATATACATGCATAACATTTCAAAACTATATCATTTATATATTCAAACGAATAGTTATATATTATTTAACAAACAATTAAACTACTTGTACTGAAATTGGTAGGAATAAACAACATATATTAAATTTGAAATGTATCACATCAAAAAATATTGCACCATAATTTACCTCAAATTATAATTGATTACAGTATTAGGCATGCTTAGAACATTGATGGTATAAACGAGTTTTTGTAAAAGAAAATTATTATCATTTGGTGTTAATAAGTTCTTTATCTAATTAAGGTTTTTTTTAGTCAAAGAGAGAGAGATAGAGAGAAATAAAACATTCATCAAAAGTCTAAATTATTGAACGATAAATTATATTGATCCAAAAAATAACATAACAACTACACTTTTATTAAATAGAAAAGACAGTTATTTCTATACTAAAGATAAACAACATAAAATAACCCTAATAACATGACAGTTGGATGGCTCCTTATGATCTTTTGCCACATTGACCGTGGCATCTGACTTTAGAGTAGTAGTAGTTAAAACCATGGGTGGTGTCACCTGAGATGAAATTATTTTATGGGTTGGTGGAGTCTCACTAGATGGTGCTTGTGCAGTTGATTTAACACCTTTCGTCACAACATTTTCACATGATGGACGTGGTGTGAGGTCATCAAGAGAAAAGATGAGGCTTTGTGATGGTTTTCGCTGGTAGCGAGGACCATGATTAGGTAAATGCAGAGACAGAGAGAGAAAGAGAGAAAAACCGAGAGATTTAGCTTACAATATGTAGTGCTTGAAGCATGCTTGAGTTCTACACTCTTTATAATGGAGAGAAAATGGGGTTGTTGACTCCTGATTCCATTAAATCCTCCAAATTTGGGTATGTATATAAGTTGACATCTTTTAAAAAATTAAATTGCCTTATACATTAAAGAATTCATGTGTGGTGTATATTTTATTGTATATTTAAAAATATATAATAAGGCATATTACCATAATTGATATTCATTTTTCCTTATGAAACTAAAGTCTACAAAATAATTAGTTCACCAATTACTTAAACATGTACTAAAATTCATCACACACTTGTCATGTTTGCATTATAATGAATTTTAAACTAACCAATTATTAAGTACATAATTATATTGTGGTTACTTGACCTTAAAAAAAATTAAAATTGGCCACACACTTATATATTGTAGTATTAAAAGTATACAAACAATTTTCATTTATGTATCTCTTTTGCCAGTTTTTCCATTAGTATTCACTACCCATTGAAAGTTTTATAGCCCAACTTAATTTAATCCTATGGGTCATTAGGTTATTAGCCCATTTGAAAAACCCAAGCCCCATTTTTTAGTTTCGTTTGAGTTCGCCTTCATCATCCTTGCTGGCCGCAACTTGTCATTGTTTGTCATTAGCTTATTTCCTTGTGTATAATGATTAGATAAATAATAATGATAGTGTATAGTCCGAATTATTAAGAGATTATCTAATAAAACGTATCACAATACTTCAATCTCACGTAGAAAAGATATTCATTATTTAACTCCATATAAAGGTAAGTTAAAGTCACATGCTTCTAATTTGATATAGTTAAATTGAACCAATATGCGGTCAAACTAAAAGTCATATGGATGAATGACTTAGTGTAAATTCATATGTAACTCAATATGAAGCTTATAATTAAAGGGTTTTATATGAGAAAACACTGAAAGTTGAGTTCTATTTGCGCTACTATAAGTACATGAGTTATTTTACTGAATAATTCTTATTACAAAAAATTAAGAATAAAAAGATATAATTGCGATTATAATAGATAATAATTGAGATATATTTATAGAATGTGCTTGTACTGTGATTCAATCAAGTAGACATGTTTTGTATATAATGTTATTTAATTAATTATATATTCTAGATTTATTTAATTCTTTATATTTTTATCATCCAACCACAAAATTACATTGTAAATATATGACTACTAGCATGTGCTCTTGGTTACATTGTAGAACATGTGATAATATAACATTTGGTAACGAGTGGTAATGAAAGGGCTCTTGGTTATGAAACGAATTACAAGACTACTAAAATGAGTCAATTCACTCCCAACTTTTACATGAAGCACTTTATTACCTATTACCAACTGTTATAAAGACTCTTTCACGACTAACATTTATATGTATATGTCACTTTGAAGTATTGAATAAATGATAGAATATTAAATAATAGTTACCAATTCTCTAAAATAAGTGATACTGAGTAAAGGATGACTCTTACATTCTCTTCATGCATATTCATGCTTCCTTCCTCTATTAAGATTTTTTATAACTCGTACTAATTCATTTATCGGGATAATTTATAACTGCTTGAATTTGTATCTTAATAGGTTATTACTAACATATTCATTATTTATTATATTGTCAGTCGTACTTACATCTTAGTAGGTTATTATTAACATAGTTGGTATCTATCATTCCATCTTAATATGCTACATGTGACCCAAAAACCACTAATCAATTACTTAACCTTTATTTTTAGCATCAACATTTTGAAAGACCTTCAAAGTTTATTGTTCATAGTGTTGATCAATATGATTCCAGCTCTAAAAGAGGTAGAAATTCCAAATGAAAGATGAAATTGGGTCCTCTTACATGAAAGGGATATGATCAGAAGTTTATGGGTCTGTTTGTAACAAAGTGGGCTCATACAATTGGAAACATGAGTATATAAAGCGACGTCGTTCTTAGTTCATCTTGAAAATATCCACTTCATCTCGTCTCTTCTCTTCTCTGCTCTGCTCTTCTGTTGCAGCAGCAATTCAAAGCTTAAGACAGTTTGCGACAAGCATCATTCTCTCTGTTTGAAGATAAGACTGGAACTTCCTGGAATATTATATGTTTTCTAGCTTACTTCAATGGCTTTCTCTTCATGTCTCAAATGCTATCTCTGGCCTCACTCTCAGAGTCAAATCCTAAGCCAGCCAAATTCCATCTCTTTCTATCATAAACCTAACTCCCAATCCACCGTCTCCTTTGCCTCGAGGAAACAGCATGAGCAATTGACCACCCAAATTCAAACCTCTTCCTCTACACTGTCTTCCAATTTCACTTCTACTCAATTGCTTGACAGTCTCCGTCGCCTGAGCGACGAATCCTCCGTGCTTCGATTGTTTGATTGGGCGTCAAAGCAGCCCAACTTCAGGCCCGATGCCTCGATATACGAAGAGATTCTAGCCAAACTCGGGAAGGTGGGGTCCCATGGTTCCATGAGGCGTGTTCTGGAGGAGATGAGACTCTCTGGTTGTGAA